CCTCTTCCTACGAGAGCACGGGAGCCTCTTGCCTGGAGATAACCCCTTACTACCCCAAGGCGTGGAACCCTTTCTCGTGCGAGGTGTGTGGACACACGGCGCCACCGTCGTTGTTGTTCTGTTGTTGTTTTGTTGTTGTTGTTCTGTTGTTGTTGTTGTTGTTGTTGTTGTTGTTGTTGTTGTTGTTGTTGTTGTTGTTGTTGTTATCGTTGCAACATTCAGGTTGTGGCCCCGAGGGTTTCTGAGCCTGGGGGGCGTCGTGAAGACGTTGTAGGTCATTGTCGTCATTTGGTATTGTTTCTGTTGTTACTTGTTTGTGCCGGTCACTGGACATGAATTTAAGCGCGTGTTGTCCGGCCGTAGAGTTTATTCTTGTCGTGCTATGAGCTGCCTACCCGCGGCCGTACCCACTGTCCTGCCTTCACTGATAGTGAAAAGACCTTCGTATTTAGTGTCGACTCGCCAAACGCACGGGGAATGCCCATGGTTGGTATCAAGGAACACGGTTGTGACGTTTCGCTTCAATTGGTTTATAAACATTTCGAGCGGCCCTTTTAGGTTCGTTCGCTTCAAGGACAAAAATACCTCATGGGTTGGGATGTAGGCCGGAACCGAATAAAAAAGCTCGCACCAAGCACACCCCAAACGTCCGAAGACCTCCCCAAAACCTACATCGAGACATAGCTACGCTAACCAGACCTGGACACGAGGAGCAGCGCTGGACCAAACTTCAGGTTGGGCTAGAGATGTCTTATTGGTCTCCCCTTACTCCGCGTGCGCCATGCCCGTGGCCCCTTTCACCCCAAGGTGAACAAGCAGTACGTGTGCGAAAGGCCAGCATCGCTGGGACCGGGTTCCTCCAGCACCCAACAACCGATTACGACAGCCCCGGAGCTACCCCCATCACCGGTGGACGATGGTGTAGCACGTGGTTCTCAGGGTACAACCGCACCCACCGCCTCCGCCACAGCCTCGTTCGTCGGATCACCTTCTTCCGCCGAATTGTCTTTGGAATTTTCGCACGGAATCGCCCACCGGGTCACCAACGGGGTCTCCGACATCTGCCCCAACAGCAATGTACAGCCTGGCGGATGGTACCATGGTCGCCAGGGATGACGCCAGCTGCGCAGAGAGGCTGGGCGAATATGAACAGTTGTGAGTATAGCGTGGCGGGGGGCGTTGTTTGTGCTGCAACTCCACGGTGTGTGTGTGTTTTTTCGTCCTATTTATTATGGCGACAGTCCCCCCATTTTTCGTGGTGAGTGAGACGTGTACTACACTTTTCAGCGTATGTGGAGTACTACACTTCAGTGTATTTTTTCGTACAACTACAACCATCCAGGGTCACACAGGAGGGGGTAAACATCAGGGCCTTTTCATTCTTTTTATTTCTTTTCATGCCCCACCCTCCTCCTGCGGTGCGTGCTGAATTTTATTTTTATCGCGAGAAGGGTCCAGCCGCCCCTTTCCCTCGTCAATTGGTGCTAATGTCGAAGTTTGGTACTCACGAGAGCTTTTTAGCTATATTTCGCTTTCACCCGCAAATTTAGTAAATTTTTCACCCCATGGGGCTTCGAACTCACGACCTCTGCGACTAGCGGATTACGAGGTTACCACTAGACCACCGGGGCAACTCCACGGTGGCAAGGGCGATACCTAGCGTTGTTTTGATCTTGGAAACGTTGTCTGAAGTAGCTCAAAGATCTCTCCCATAGCTCAAAGACCTCTCCTGTCCCATCTTGAGCATCGCTTTGATTCGGGGGTGCAGAAGCTAACTGCTTTGAACGATCTCTACCGTCATCGTGATGACGCCCGCTTTCTTCGTCAACGTTTAGAGTTGACGGTACCACGTATTGTTGGTCAGACTCCTTGGCGAGGATGAGCGCTGAGAGTAGGAACCTGTGATTGCGCAGAACACCAAAGGAGGCGTTCGAACGAGATGCTTCAGTGGGCTCAGTCGGGCGGGGGGGGGGCTGTTGCGTTGCGTGGTATCCAGTTTGCATCAACTTCAAGTCGATGGAGTTTCATGGTGTGGGCACGTCGTCTGCCATCCTAGGGTCGTCGACAAAGGGAAGATACGAAAACACCTCAAACACGTGGAAACCTTGCGGGGAGGGCCTCATTGTATCACACACTCTTGCGCCGATTCTCGTGAAATTCCCGACAAACTGGTGGTGCTACTTGCACGTTCGATTCGTAGGTCATTGGCCACATACGACATGAGCGTCTTCAATGATGCCGCCGGTTGTGAGAAAACCTTCCTCACGGAAGAGCCGCACTGGTGCAACTCCTTCGAGATCGGACAGGAGTGTCGCTCCTGCTGGTTGTCCTGCGACGGGGCTCGCCTGTACTTGGCGGACTTTTCCTGGTTGCTGGAAGACAAGTGAGACAAATCATTGCGTGAGGTTCGTTGTCACTCACTCCGCGAGTCGATCTTCACAGCTTGCCTCTCGTCGTACCTCGATAACGTGTCCGGTAGCAAAGGGTACGTGTTTGATTTTTTCTTTCATAAGAAAATATTTTCATCCATTTCATCTTTTTCGGCCTGGTCATCGTCCCTGCTGTTGTTGTTGTTGTTGTTGTTGTTGTTGTCGTTGTTGTTCGGAGCTCATCAAACCCGACTAGAGGAAAAACTGGGTTTGGTCGCCGTCGGTGGCCTTGCGCGCGATCAAGCGCTCACGGAAAAACGGCCTCTGTCTTACTTTTCTACACGTACACCAGCCAACACAAGAACGTAGACGATGTTGCGACTTGTTATTTTTTTTGTCTTCACCTCGGGAAGAAGGACCCGCAGGTCGAAAGAAAGCACGTTCAGCCCGCCCACTCCCCCTATAAAATGGCTACCGTCACGGCAAACAAGTTCGTCTGCCCCCTTGTACGTTCCGCACACTCTTCCCCGCCCGCTCCCACACGCGACCTATGCGGTGTCTGTCATTGTCTTTGGATTGTAGGGACGAGCCGTGTAGCGCACCGTAGTGTCTCATCATTGTTTATATTCCCATTGCACGTCTACACACGGAACCTTGTGGATCATCAGCTACCACCTCCCGCTTGAACTGTCTTCAGAAATATGCCAATATGCATGCCCAGAGGGAAGAAATTATGCGTGCTCCGTACACATGACCCATAAAAGCTCAACACCTGAAGTGAACTTTGATCTTCGTTCCTTTTGGTATCGACATCGCTCTATCGAAACCTCGCGAAGGATTGTGTTCTGCCCCGGCGTCGGCTTGTCAGACTTCGGAGACGACTGTGGCGACGAAGGCAACAAGGGCCATAACAATGATAATAGTGGTCCCCGCCACCGCACCCTAAGGGAGTCATTTCAGAAATTCGATTCCCTTTCCCACGAAATTGCCCCGGCGACAAGAACTCTACTATCGTCACAGTTCCGCGGCTTCCTGCGGCGCCGGTGAATCATACCTATGTGTAGATCGAAGTCTGGCACGCGTGGCACAGCCGACTGCGGAGCGCTGTATGTATCTTGCGCCCTATGTGGTAGTCTTGGGAGCTTGCCATAAGGTAGTGGTTGCGAGAACGATGGTAGCAGTCTGGCTGAGGACTCGAGGCTCGGTGTCGTCTGCTTTGGCTTTCATCCTCTCCTCGTTCATGGAAAGTTTGTATCCTGGGCTGCTTTCGGTCTTTCTGCGTCTGCCTCCATCCTCGTTGTGTAGGGAAAAGTTGCCGTGTTTTTTTAACACGCATCATCTTTTCGATTCCCCCCTGTCCCCACCAAGGCAGGAGTAGAAGGGATGTGCGCAGGACCATACACGAGCCAGGCACTCGAGCCAAGTTTGATACTGTAACAGTACCTCGGCGCTCCGCGCTGACTAGAACCGTTTCGTGTGTGAACTTTTGCCCTTCACGTGAACGATGCTCACGGAGATACCTCGTTGGTTCCCCGAAGTTGCGTATGTTTTGCCAGCAGAGAGCTCCCCTCAAGTATACAAAATTTTGAGGAACAGCCAGTCGAAATTATGGCAAATAGACGAACTCATAGGGTGGTTTTGTCAGTGCTTGCCTAGGAAACCGTCGCGCCGAATCCCCTTCCGACGTATTTTGAATTCTCTGGCACTGATACTGGTTGGTTCGAACATGGCGCAATTCCTGGATCGTGCTACTCAAGGACTCAAAGTTACCGGTGCGTGTTGATTGTTGGACGCGTCGCTGGTTTGTCTGTCCTGTTGTTTCTTTGGGTATCGAGATGACCGCGTTCCTAGCGTTGCGTACGGTTGGTCCGGCGGCAGTAGTCATAGATAGAACTTTTCCACAGAAACCGTCAAATTAGGCTGCTAGACTAAGTGTTCTTCGTTTTCTTGAGGGAGGTTTCGGAAGGCAGCTGGCGATGCCTTCTTTTCCGCAGTCTTGCACGCCAATTTCATGGCACTCGGGGGGGTCATGCGCGCACGTGGGAAGGTCGCAAGAAACGCGAGAGTCAGTTGAGAGTTGAGGCAAGGGTCGAAAATCCCTGCGCCCACTTCTATCGCACATAACGTTGCTGTTGTTGTTGCTGCTGCTGATGATGATGATGGTATGCTGATTATTACGATGTTGACAAATGTCTTTTTCCCTCTGTCATCCCGTGTATGTGCGGACTCCACCGCACAAAGTTATGTCAGGTGCGCCGCCTAGGACCTAGTAGGGCTGGGGGTGGGGCTTCATATTGTGCCAACACGGGCGAGGGGGAGGTTCAAGTAAAGATGTCGGTCCGACGTACTTGTTTTCGCCGGGAGAGGAATATAAAGGGCTCGTCTTTTGCATTCGCCGGTGGTGTTTATTAAAGTTGGACACACGCTTGAGTTTGGTGTTGTACGCAACCTTGAGTTTGTGGAATGAGCTGGCAAGGCTAGGGGCGGGGGGGGTTGGTAGTACTCATCTGTTATGAATGCCTTGGCGCTTAGACTATTTTCCACGCGTCCTCGAGAGGACGGAGCATTGTTCCCACAGGACCGATCACCGATGGCCAACCGTTCCTTCCTACTTTGCCAAAGGTGGCTCAAAAATGTCTTCCCTAGTCTACCTATCCTACCGACATCGATTCCCGCCTTTTCAACCCACTTCCTATGCCCCAGTACGACTAACGCCTTATCCTGGCAATCCCACGCCTCAAACATCTCCCTGTACTTTTCTTGTACTTTTTCCAGCTCAGTCACGTACATTTCCCTCTCCTTCTTGTACAACGGACATTCCGCGACTACATGAACAAGATCTTCGCATTCGAAGCCGCAATCGCATTTGAACTCGTCGTCTTCGTCGTCTACCGTCCTATGTCTTCATCGACGTTCTCGAAGGCCTATGTCCCCGGTCCTGAATTTGGGCTTAAAGTAAAAAAAGAAAATCCTTTTAAAGGACAGGTAAGCAACTGGGATGAAGTCGTAACAAGGTAGTTGTAGGGGAACCTGCGGCTGGAAAAAAAATAATTAAGAGGTAAATGCCTCATAGAAAAAACAGAATCTGCAACACGAAGGGGTAAAATCATTCCCTTTCGCCTAGGGCGTACCCAGGACGCACAATGCCTACAGTGCTGGAAATCGTTCGATGTGAGAGACGTCAGACTGCAGAGACAACGCCATTTCCACTTAATGGACCTCACCCAACAAACCCCCGCGGAGCTAAATCTACTCCTTGACCGCCACGGCCATGCACCAGTCGCTTCGGGGGCGCACTGTCGGGTGCCCCGTCGCTCCGGGCCTCTCGGCCTCACAGACGGTTTGGCCTGCGAAAAGAGTACCATCATACTCACGCCGATCGGAGACGTCAACTATTTTCACAGGGCACGAAACCACGTTGTGGCAGATGTCGCGGCCGCCAATGATGGGAAATTCCACTTCCTTCTCGACGATTTTCAAGTTCTCGTCAAATGACCTGAGCTTTGTACGCTTTCCGAGGAATTTGCCGTCACTGTTGAAGCATGTGAAAGCGGAAACCCAGCCCGTGATGTAGTTCACCCCCGAGCCCCCGCGTTTATCTGTGAGAACCTGACGAACGCAGACAACACACATACATGCGTTCATGTCTTCAATAGATTCCATGGGAACAATGCTACTACAGCGCCCCGGAAACACATCGACATGTTTCTCCAGATTAATCGGCAACCTGATACGCTGAGACTACTGTGTGTGGTGTCTACGTAAAAGATTGTGTATGCGAGCGTTTTGTAGGCATTCCAAGGAGTGGCAGGCGTCCTTTGTATTTGAAATTCGAAAAGGTTCCGGGTGTAAACCCGAAAGGACGGACCTGACCCAGCAGAAGAAGAAGAACCTCACGTACTTGCAAGCAAATAACAAGGAATTACTTTCGGTATACTTATTTTGTTGTGCCCGGCAAGCACCCGTCGATCTCTCGTCGTACGTACCCTGTCCCAAAACTCGAGTGTTTCCGGGCTCCCAGGATGCTCCGCTGACTCCACGAACCCGTCGCAGACCTTGCGCAGGTACCCCACCCATATCTGCATGACCTCGCCCTCAGGATTGCCGTCCACCTCGAACTCGAGAAGGCGCTCGACCTTCTCCCGGAGCAGCTTCCAGTCTCTCACTGTGCCCCTGAGGGTCACCGAGGGGATGCCACACCCGCGCCTCATCCTGAACTCGAAGTAATTCTGCAGGCTCGCCATCGCCGTCGCCGCAGCGCACACCTCGTCCCTCTCCGTCGTCGTTGAGAAACCCGGCCGGAACCAGTCAGCGAGTTCGGGCGACTTGATGTTCTGCCTGATTAGCCCCAACAAATCCCTGATCATACGCGGGTAGTCTGCAGTAGTACGCAGCGTTCCGTCACTTACTACGATGAGCGCCTTCTTGCCCTCGTGTTGGACGATCCTATCCCGTAGTCCCTCCGCGTTTTTGTTCACGTAGGCGCAGAACTGGGCGAGGATAGTCAACCACACGTCATCAGGGCTGATCACCAAGTTGCAGTGAGTGTCGTAGGCGGTAAAGATCGCGGAGAGGAGGCCTTTTTCTGCACGTGCCAGCCCACCTGTGGTGGTAGTGGCCACCCCTGCGTCTGCCGACAGCGCGACGATGTTTCCTGGAAACCTCTTCTCATTGGAACTGCTGCCGTGAGAAAGAAAAGGGGGAGATTATGGGGCGAAAGATCCTGTGAGTATATAGTTAACATTATACGGTACGGGCCCGCAATCAAGAAAAATTCCGTTAAGAAAAAAGGCTAAAGTTTTTCACGAAAAATAAGGAAAAAACCCTAGGAAACACAGCTCAATCTCGGCCAGAACATGAGAAACGTCCCAATAAGAACATGATCGTGCGATGCCCCCAATACAGAAGAAACAAGGGTTGCTTGGGGAGCGTTTCCACTAAGAAACGTCCCACTGCTGCTCTTTCCGTGCTCCCACCCCCCCGGTACCTAGCGGGACAACGTTTTTTGGGGTAGTGGGGGAGCGTGATTGTTGGCGCTGCCCCCCCCACCTCCGCGCTATTTAGCTACTCGGCGCCTCCGCGGGCTGCTTTACCCACTGCTGTATGAATGCTTGGTGTTGCTGTATGCATATTCTTAGCCAGAAATTAAAGAAAACGAGAAACAATAGAATCAGGAGGATGTTGTTGTTGTTGTTGTTGACTTCACATTAAACCGTATGCCAGTTGCTAAATGCCAAAATCTAGCAAAGACTCTCAGCCCGTGGTCACGAAAGTGCTAGAGCCATCTGAGGATCTAAAGAACACGCACACGTAGCAAGAAAAAGGTATCCAAGAGCCCGAAGAGGTACTACTACACCTATATATA